CTTCACTCTTGTTTCTGTTAGACCTCTCACTTGCCGCTGGCAGGTCTCCTTCCTCCCTGCCTTCCACCCACCACAAACTCAAGCAGAAATCTCCTCCTTGGCACCGCTCCTGAGCGCGCCGAGGGAAGCCTGACGGCGAATTCACGGGCGACAGGGAGGGAAGTCAAACCCCTTGGCTGCCTCAGCCCTGCCTGGGGAGCTGGGGGTGCTGCCCTCGCCCCCCGGCAGCGAGCAGCTCCAGGGCTGCGGGGGCAGATGCCTCCATGCTCGTCCCCAAAGCCAAGCTTTTGTGTTCATGGTCATGTTCCAAATGGGGAGAACCCGGGGGCAGGGATGTGCATTCTCAGCACCCAGTGAACGGGGTCTGGGGTGGGGGCTCACAGCCCATTCCCCTGCAGTTTCTTCTGCATTCTGCAAAAACTCTCCACCTTTTCCCAAGATCTACAAGGACTTCGGTCTTCTTCCATCAAACCAGCACAGTCGGGGCCCAGCCATGCCGACCTGGAGACCTCACTGCTCCGGTCCTCATGCTGGGTGAAGCAAAGTGAAACTGAGCAGCGCCCAAAAGCGCCCTCCACAGGCCCACAAGACCTCAGTTATCTGTTTCTGCTCCAAAATGTGCAAAAAACTCCTAATTGCTTCAATCACGCAGACGGTAAAGGCGCTGAGGCAGAGCACTTTGTGGCAATGATTAGCAGCATTTGAAAGAGCCATTTATAAACTGACAGCCGGTCACAGCGTCAAGTAAATAACAACATCGGGTTGGGTGCTTTTCTCAAAAGCCTCAATAGCTGCAACCATCTTGTCACGGAGATGAGCAGCCGTCTCCATCCCGCTGGAAGTGCCCTGAAAGGCGGGGATGGAGGGGAAGGGGAGTGTTAGGATGAAAGTGGAGCCAGCAAAGGAACTGCAGCAATCAGGGCCACCAGAGCAACCCGGGGACAGGGGGGACACCCGGCCAACCCCATGCATCGCCCTCACAGCTGCAATTGTTTGGCACCTGGGGGCCCTCATGGTTTTGGCAGGGCTCTGGTGGCCCCACAGCTCAGACAGAGGTGACCAGCTCCAGGCGTATTTGGTCCTTGTTGCTCACACGCCCGGCGCCGAGACATACCTTGGCTTTATTGATCGTGCAGTGGAGAGCGTTGTTTTCTTGATCGTAGAGCAAGCTGAAATCCAGCGTCCCCAGCGTGGCTGCAAAGGAGAAAAGATGCTATTAACCTGCAGGACCCCACAAACGCTGCCTATTCTCCCTCTAAGCACAAAAGGAGTGGATGAAGACTCTGGAGAAATGGCTGCAGACATTATAAAACATAAAGCATCCTCCTACGAGCCCTGTTATGAAACCCAGCTTCAGGCTGGGAGGCTGGTGGCCATCCCCACGTTTGGCTGGTGGGGCTGGCAGAGCCCTGGGAGAGGAGCGAGAGGGACGAACGGCTGTGGCCAGCGCAAAGACGTTGCCTCCAGGGGTTTTCCCACTTGTCTGCCCCATCCATCAGCAGCCTCACCACAGCCAGCAGCTTCCCAGCGCCCAGGAGCTTCAGCTCTTCTCCAGAAGGGTCAGGTATGGCTGGGGCGCAGCTGAGACCCCCTGTCAGGACATCACCCCCGCTGGCATTCTCAGAATGCCGATTTGTATACCCACACCTTCAAACAAATGAGCCACCAATGGGATCCCTTTCCAGCTCCAATTTGGCTGCAGATTGTAAATTGAACCCAGCGAGAGTGGAAACACTTTTATGGTTAAAATGAAAAACACCAACAGCTTTTAATCAGGGCAGCGAACCCTTACGGCATTTGCAACCCAGGAACAGCAGCAAAGGGGCAGCTCCTGGGACAGGA